GTTTTGCGGCGTTGTGCTGCGCGCTATTATCAACTGATCCAAAGAACAGAATAAAGAATTCAGCATTTCCAGGTATTTTGTTTGGGGTTAATAACAATAGTGAATAAGCCTTATTACATACTTCTAAAATGGCTATTCGGTATGTAATTCGAAGAAAAAAAACGCTCAAGACATGTTACACTACGGAATATTTACGCTTATGTTCACATTGAAAACCTTGAAAAGTTGTTCAAAAAAGATTCAGTTTTGTTTAGTTTGCTTTTTTTCCTCTCGTCCTCTTGCCGAGTATAGTTCGTGAATGTTTTTAACAACAAAGCATCCTTATCGTGTTAATAAATTTATAATCAACTGGTTCGCTGATAAAAAAAATTATACTGAGAGACCAAGCATAGTGAAGGGCATTTTCTCCCTTGGGTACCCCTGTGTGAACATCACCCTTATGAGCGACATTCCCAACCCCTCTCCCCTAGTGCCGCTAATTCGACACGCCGACAATTTTGCGAAGATGTGAAATTCATCTTCACCGAGTCTCGGCACAATTTCCTCAGCGCAACAAACAACAAAAGGCTTTTGTTTGAACTTGTGAAGTCGAATTTAACCCACAACAATGGCCCATTTCCTGATACGTAAAACGAGATTTAATAGAAGAGACATGACATGCATATGGAAGATGCGTTGCGTGACGCCTTAAGCGCTGGAGGTAAAGATAACATTACATTCAGAGAGTCTGAGTCATCCCATCAGCATTGACCCCACTTTCAACATGGGTCAATATGAAGCTACACCAGTAGTGTATGAACAATTGTTCCTGAGGACAAAAAGATACGGTCAAAATCTAGTCTTCCTTGGTCTAACAATGCTGCATCACAAGAAGAACTTCGACACGTACAAAGTATTGGCATCAACTTGTGTAAGCAGTTGTAAAGGATTAACTGCAGCAAAAGGTTTCATCACAGACGGAGAAGAAGAGCCATTCCGTGGCTGGAAAACAGAGCTTCCAAAAGCGATCCATTTGAGGTGTATCCGTCATTTCCAAAGCAACTGTAGAGAAAAACTCCGCGAGACAGGTATAAGAGAAGCCAAGTCACAATAAGTTTTCCTTGACAAAGTTTTCAGAATTCAAGAGAAAATGGATGGCATTGTGGATGCAGAAAAAAAGACCGAAGTAAAAGAACGGCTTCGAAATGCAAAAGAAGTACTTGACGAGAAAGAAAAGAAACTGCTGAAAAAGGAATCTTCCTATCGGCCGCTGTTTTCTGTATTCCTTGACGAAAGACGAAGAATGATTGCGAAAACAACCAGTTTGATTAGAGGCAAGATAACTGCAGATGCATCAGTTTTTAACTGGCACATCTTTTTGGTGAATTGACAGAGATACTCCCCATCTATTTGATTCCTGTCTTAAGGAGCGCGAACATCTCGGTCAGTATACATGGGATAACTGTGTAAGGTTTTTGTTTATGTGAGAGTTTTCTCATTTTTTCGATAACCAGGTCCTTCACTTAGCACAATTTAGAAGCTACTCTAGGTTTTTTAACCCAGATACATGGGCCACTGGTTACACTATCTTTACCTCGAGTGTTTAACAAATCTTCTAGGGAATACATGGCAGCTGCAATGTGCTTGCATCCCCCATCTCGACCACCTTTACATTTACTTTCATAAAAGGGCGCACATTGGCTACATATGCAAGAATTCCATCTTGTTTCAAATGAGAAGTTAGTAAAGATTCCACATAATCATCATCGAAAAGTCGATAATCTTCAAATGACTTGTAGGCGGCGAGTCCCCGCTTATTGTGATCGGTGGAGTAGTAAATCAAATAATTAAAAATGCCCTACAATCCAAATGGCGGCGACGCGTTAAAGTTGTCAACAGTCTTCAGGAAATAAATTATTAATTCGTCTGAAGCAGTGGTGTCCTTTTCGAAATTTGAATTCACTGACAGACTGCAGAGGCGATTTCCATAACCGAGGTATTCAATTATCCGCTCGCTGAAATCCTCTCTTCGTGTACATATTTTTTAAGCTCTGCTACACTCTTTGTGTCGAAATCAGCTTAATTTTTGTGATCTAAAAGATTGACCCGAGTTTCGCAGAATTTCCCACTTGCATTACTGAGGGTTGAAAAAAAATCGGTACATTTAATAACTGGGGAGATCCACACCCAGTTACGTATTTCCTTGAGGGAATCAAGGCTTCCTCACGTTCTACAGCAATTCGTGGGCACTAATTTCCTCACAGAAGGGATTTTATCGAACATCTACGCACTTAACACCCTGAAAATACCTGATCAGATGCATCACTGTACGCAGACCTAGTTCGATTATTCCATACCACAACGCATCTTGTAACATTCTTCGCATCTACTTCGACGGCAGCGAAATAAAAACTTGTTTGATAAACATTCAAATATATGATAAAAGAAAGAACTCAATTTCGAGGGAGGAAACGCTTCTCGAAAGTGGGAAGTTATATTAGAGAAATTGCCCACACATGTGCTGCGAGCTGGACTCGGAACTTTCGCAGATTGTTTACGTCAAAAGTCACGTGACACTACACGGGAAATCTGAAGCCTAAAAGGTGAAGTTCGTCTAACTCCAGGCGGTGTGCGCACTCCGATTGCTTTGCATTGTGAAAGCTTCATTTTCAATATGGCGATGAAAGCGGCAGAAATCGGCAGATTTTGACTGAACATTCTGTCAAAGTTAGGCCGCTCCTTTTTCCTTCACCATAGGTAAATATAACCTGATTTATTCTGAATGTGTAAAAGTATTTTTTGTACGTAGTTGTCGCGTATTCTATAGTTCTCAAGGACAAACGCGATCACTGTTTTTTTAGTATGTAATTTGAGACCAGTTTTCGAAAAGGTCAAATTTGATGTACGTCGTAGTTTGGAGCCTTTCAAAGATTTGGATGGCCGCTTTGATCCTTCTTTAACAGCTCTGACTAAACGCTCTCAAACGGTATTCGCGCATTTTAAGCGCTAGTGTTCGAGACCGATTATGACCAAGAAAAGGCCTATTGTTGCGTTACACAGCGTAACTATCGTATACTCAATTGTGTCGTAAATCCAGAAAGTAGAATAGAAGCAAATTAACTAATCGCGAGTGTTGTATGATAAATCTACTATCTTGATCATTGAATGAAGGAAAGTTGAATTAGAGCAATGAAAGAAGTCACTTGACCACTGAATAACTCTACAATGCACACGGCGACACGCCGGGTAAGCCGGAAAGCAAAATGCAGTCGATCGTGAAAAGGTGTTGATAGACTTGTTAGACTCCTGCCATTCGCTTGGGCTTTTAAATCTTCTGACCTGAAAAGTTAGCTGTTATTAAGATATCTTTTAACGACTTTCCTTTGCGATGTGATAATAAGGGTTAGTTTTAAGGTGTAATTTCCCTATCTGTATGTTCTTGAGGTTTAGCAAAGCCGAATGAGATTGTTACAAAAGATAATATTTTCATGTGTGCGCGTTATTTTCTTTGTTTTCAAGTATACTGTCTTTACCGCAGAAGATAACTCCAGAGATACGGTTTCAAAACCTTATTTTAAGTATTCTCTATTCTTTTAAGCATATTTGAAAATCTGTATGTTTTTCTATTAAATGTTGAGCGTAACGAATTTGGACTTAGAAGGCGTAACGCTTCTCCTTTTGCGAATCCCATATTTACGCCTTTACGTGTATGACATGAAAAATTATTTATGTATAAGAAGGTAGCTGTCTCTTTGTAATGAGTTTGCATGTCAAAGGTTGATTCCCTGTTAAATAACTCGCAAATTTGATATTATTCACACAGCCATCGGCTGTGGGTGTAACTGCTGCCAAATGAATAGATTCTTGGGCAAGGCTGCAGTTTCGATTCTTTCTGAATCTCTTCAGTTGCCTCCTAACAACGAATTTGTCACGGAGGAATAACAGGAGTCGCGCAGGCCTGCCAACGCTTTTTAACTTTCGAACGAATGGCAACAGGCAGTGAATCCCCATTACATTCCACGTTTATTCGCGCTATCTAACTGTCACCAGAGATGTTCACTTGAACATTGGTCACTCGACAGCGACAGCGACAGGATGTAAATGACTCGCTTTTCGTTTTACAACCATGATGCACCGCAATCAGAGTGCGCACACCGCCTGGTCTAACTCTAAAAGGAATGTCACGCAATGTTTCGTGAAAAGCGGTGCGTGACGCCCCACCACAATTTGTCACGACAATTTCACTGTCATTTTTCATACAATAAAATATACAAAAAATACACATTCATAGATAAATACGCTTAGCGATTAATACACCATGAATACACTAGAAAATAACTGTGCGTAGTATGTATTGTGACGATTCTCATGGTGATATTAAACAACCCAATCATAATAAACAACACGAAGAGTCCACAAATCAATTGGTTAGAACAAGGACGATAATGACGACGATGAACAGCCTCCTGGCAAATCAGGTGAGGGGTCGGGAAAGATGATAAATACTTCTGAGGCGACGAGTCGTAATTATTCATGAACCGCACTTGTGTATGAATAGGAAGCATTTCGTCGGCCGGAGAGACATGCTGATGTGGCAAACGATGCAATTGTTGTAGGCGCACCTAATAATCGTCATTTTGGTAGTCTTTCCTGAATGACAGGACGTTTCCTAATCCGCCAATGCCGCTGGCGTGGGAATACACATTGGAGTTAGCGATGGCCTGAACTGCAGCCTGTTGAGAATGCGGTGGAGGCGCCTGCTGCGGGTGAAGGCGGTTGTGCATCCAACCACTTGGAGCTTGAAGTGGTGATAGCGTAGTTAAATCCGCAGGCGATTTGCCGTGAGGAATGCTCCATAACGGCGAGAGCGTGTTCGTGAATGGCACACAATTTGGCGAAAACCACTGTTACTGTTGTTGTTGCCGTCCAGCGGCGCAGGGCATTAGAACACGCATGAACCCATAAGGTGAGGGCGTCGGGACGACATTCATGGATGGGTGCACTTCCTCGTCAGGCCGCGCCTATTTCCGCTTCCTCTTTGCATTATTGTCATTTTTATTTCCGGTTGCGCTTGGTCTGGGTCTCGATCTAGACGTTCTACTCACTGTGGCCTTTTGTACCATGGCTACTGCGCTACCATTCGGAATTTCGTCAGCTGGCGGCGATGTTGCCAGGAGAGATGCTATGCTAACCATGGGCGATTTTTGCCCCTCGTGGAGTGAAGTAGGGGCTGGAACTGCATTGGGAAAGTTACAGCCAAGTGACCAATTCGTTAGCAATTTGACAATGTCGTGATGCCGTCTTTGTCTAGCGATATTCTCAGGTGTTATGTCCAAAAAATCGGCAACTTTCCTGTTAGCAAAGTTCACTAAAAGATGTCTCACGGTCTCTGCGCTGCCTTCACGACAACTCAGGAACAACGGAGTTTGACCCTAGAAATAGATTAAAAACATTTTAACACCAATAACCATAAAAAAACAAATAATCGAAACAAAAAAGGTCATCTTTGAATGTATTCCTTTTAAATTCACCCTAAAATTGCAGTGCGACTTCAGCGATCGCGTTACGCACCCGCTAAAATCCATCCCTTGGATGCTGCGAACAAGAAGCGAACCTATTCCATACAGGCACAGTCAGCGAGCAAAGCTTTCCCTGCAAGCCATGATGGGCCACTAGGGAAGAGCTCACAGTATCTTGCACATAGGATTTCAACAGCCACGTAAAGTGATTGCATGTATCGACCGTCAACTTTTACGATCAATTTGCATTGCAAATGTCCGGTGCATTTGACTAGATATGCAGTCAAATGAAACTCCTTTGCTCACTGTGAACCAAGCTCACATGAAAAATAGATCTGAATTCTACTAACCTTTTCATCTTGCACGTCTTTCTTAGCGCCATTTTTTAACAGCTCTTTGGTGACATCAAGCCCGCTTACTGACGCAGCCCAATGCAAGGCTGTTTTCCCTATTGGAAACATTCAAAGCTGTCAGAACTCGATATGAATGTTTAAATCTATCCTATTCCAGAAATGGAAAAAGGGGGTTAGGAATTCACCTTGATTGTCAGCGCTGTTAACCTCGACTCCGGCTTTGATGAGGTACCGCACCAGGTCTGGAAGGTCGTGTCTTGCTGCAAGGATAAGCGGGGTGGTACCGTCGTCCATTCGGGCTTCGAGGTCTGTGGCACGATTCCGTATCAACAGCTGAATGCATGGAGAAATGAAGTCGGTCAGAGATATCAGAGAAAAACATCAGTCAAAATTTAATCCATTTGGAATAGAACGCATCGCAGGAATGCTAGATGATGATGAATGGAAATTTGTTGGATAACACTTGCTTTCCTTAATCAAGGTGAATACTATGTGTTATTTACCTGGAAGACACCTTGTGCATCACGTTCGATGGCCAAATGGAGGGGCGTGCGATTGAAACGGCCACGTGCATTCGCATCCGCTCCGTCGTCCAACAGACGTTTAGCCACATCCGCTCTTGGGTGCCAGGCAGCAAGATGAAGCGGCGTCTCCAGGTACTTCTTGGAACCACCGTTCGCCCTAAGGAGTGGTAGATCTAACACCATGGTCCCTCCACTGTCATCTCTGTCTTTGTCATCATCAAGGCTGCTGCCATCACCGTACGTTTCACGGCAGGAGGCCAAGTGAGGGGCTGTCCTTCCACATGGAACTTCTTGGTGACCAAGTTTTCTAACTAGGAAAGGAAACAAAGAACCCAGTAACCACTCGGTGAATAAATAAAAAAATCAATTTTTAGACTCTGCTAAAGTTCTAGGTATTACTACACGTAAATTCACTTTCTAAATTAAAATGATTTTCCCCGAAAACTAATGCAGAGACTCACTTACCAAATATGAGACTGTACATCCTCTTCACAAGACTTCCAATGGGCTCCTCCCAGCTGTACTTCTCCTGATATTTTTCACGCAACAAACTTGACTCCTCAAGTCGCACCTTCCTCTCTTTGTGTCGTACCTCCTTGATTTTCTTGGCCCACTCTTTTGGATTTTCAGAATCAACCACACATTGTGGTCCTAAAGGCACCTTCTTCAGAGCCTGTCCAAGTCCTGAATTACCACTGACAAGTACAGGTAAACCAGCAGATAAAGCTTCAAGAGCATTGACTCCAAATCCTTCAGTCTTGGATGGCATTATGGCAAGATCCACCTCACAGAATAAGTCAGCTAATAATTCTCTGCTGTCACTAAAGCTGCGGACAATTAGCTGACTACAATCAATACCATGTTGAAGCAACTTATCTGCTATTTCACCTTCTTTCCCTCTTGGTGCACCAACAAACTTGAGTTTGTAGGACTTATCTTTCAACTCAGCAACTGCTTGAGCTGCAACATCAAAACCTTTCAATATGAAATCTTCACAGCTGTCGCCACTTCCAATGAATAGAACACTGAAAGTGCTTCTTTCTTCAGTGGCTTGCTTAACATTAAAAAATTCAGAGAAAATGCTTGGAGTGAGATCAAAGACATTTTGCTCTTTTTTAGGAAGGTAGCGCTTGTAAGTTTCTGCCAGCTTGGGTCCAATTGCCACAATTTCATGGGCCATCTCACACAATTTTAATTCTGTTTTTTGCAATTGTTCACCTTGTGAAATGCTTTTGTACATTCCAAGTTCTTCTGGAGCACTGTGAACAACTTGGATCCATTTGCAGTGTTGATGTTTTTTAATTAACTGCACATGTTTTCCAATACTTAATCCATGTCCGACTACACAATCCATGACATGTCCATCTGGGACATTAAAAAGCAAGTCATTTGGATTCCAACCAATCATTTTTTCGGCTTCAACAAGCTGCACATGATTACTTGCTGCATTGTTCCTGTCTTCTTCACTGCATTGCGGAAGAAAGACACTAACTGCCACATTAGAGTGTTTAGCTAGCTGTATGGCAAGCTCCCTGTTGATGGTTGATAAGCCTCCATCAGTTGATGATCTCCACTCTCTGCTTAGCAATGTGACTTTCAGTGTCCTGTTTTCTTGGCCTTCTTGTGATGTAGAGGCTACACTAGGAATGTCAAAATCCTACCAAAGCAAAACATGAAGTCTTAAAAATAATTAACAATTTCCTACAACGGGTATGGAATTGCTGATACATGTATAAAAATTGCACACATCAAGTTGTGGTGAAAGGCTGTGCCTATACATGGAATTTTAACATAGTAGCTCCTTAGCAAGGACTTGTAGCAGCAATATGTTATAAATCAATTTCTTTCTAGATTTGCAGGCGGGCTCTGCCCATAAAAGCACAAAGTCAGATACATGCATGAGATGCATCATTTCAAAGTTTCATCAACCCTCTGACTGACATGTACAGTGAGATATAACTGTGCATAGAATGCATGTAACAAATATATTCTCCTATAAGACTATTAACTTCTTTTCTTTTTGAAACTCTGCATGTACTGGTAAGTGACTGTTTTATTTGCTGGTTGTAAAACATATGACCAGTCTGTATAGCACATGTATTTACTTTCCAGTTTTGAAAGTCTAATGATTTTATGATAGAACTTTCAACAGACAGTGAAAGTTGTATTACTGCTTTGGCAGGTTTTTACATTATGGTAAAAATAAAACGACACAGACCTCAATTATCAATCAGTTATCACATCAATGTTACCTTTGACAGCCCAGACATCACAGAAGATCTTTAGTGCTGAACATTGAAGCTACATGTAAAAAAAAAGCAAATTTCACACCATTTTTTCCACTTCCCTTAACGGAATAAAACGAGCTAAATACCGTATTTACTCGTGTAGTCGACCCCTCATTTTCAACGTCAAAAACCGGATTTTTCATCATTTCTGGTTAAAGAAGTAAAATTCAGACCGATAGAAATTTCCCAAATAGTTAACGTCTTATTTTTGATGTATTGAAAAACTGTGAATTAAAAAAACTGCAGAGCAAAATATAACCGTGTGCTGTGAAGTTTATTACCACTTGTTTATATCACTACACGAGCACTTCAATTCACTAGAGAAGTATTTTATTATAATTTGTAGATCGCATTGAAAATGAAATCTTCTTGCATTGAACTAATCTTTATCTTAATGTTGAGTTTTAAAGGAGATTTAGTAGACCGAAGGAACACGGAAGAGCTTCGAAGGATCACTTGATCGCGTGTAACATTGACGAAGAATGTGCTGAAAACTGAACACAATTAGAACTGGTTTTGTAATCTCGGATTGCTTGTTTCGTGTACGAGTCAAGAGTGATTTTTTTTAGTTTATTTTTTGCAAAATGAAACTACGCTAATGATTTGCAAATAGAAATCTGTAGTTTGCGAAAAAAATTATTCTGAGACTCAAGAAATTAATAAAAGAGCTTGGATCAGTTACATTTTCGGCTGCAACACTTTTTTATGCATTTCCGGTCAGGTAGGTGTAGTGTCACGCATTCGAATTATTCATCGACAACGTACATTGATTACACCTTATAGATAGTACAGTTACAGCGTCCTAACAATTCAAATTACGTTTGCCCTCTATGGCCTAAACGACGCATTGAGTTATTCATGAACGTGGTGGAGATCTCGCAAAGTTCGCCACGCAGATTTTGCAAATCACTCGCATATTTTCATTTCGCAAATTACAGATTTTTAGAAATATGTAATTTGCGAAAAAAAAATATTCTGAGACTCAAGAAAATTAATAAAAGAGCTTGGGTCTGTTACATTTTCCTAGCAAACATGATATATTTCATCTAGAAACATGCTGCAACACTTTCCATGTGCATTTCCATATGCATTTCCGGTCAGGTAAGTCGTGTCACGCATTCTAGAAATCTGTAATTTGCGAAATAGAAATATGCTCATGATTTGCAAAATAGAAATCGCATATGGTAGATTTCTATTTTGCAAATCATTAGCATATTTCCATTTCGCAAATTACAGATTTTCATTTCGTTTCGTTTCGCAAATTACAGTAAGCCCATTTCGTTAATAATCAATAAACTCTCAAGAGTGTAGCATCAAGAAAGCCACGCGTTGGAAGGAAACTTTTACATGATAATTTTTTTGAGTAAGAAAATACCAAAGAGGAAAAACTGAACCAGCATTACCTTAAATTCTGTCTATTCGCCCACAAGAGATATCCATTGCATTGTAAGGATTCCACTGAGATCTTGAATACCAAAATGACTCTTACCCCTAAAAGTAACCGTAAAAAAAAATTGTTCCAATGAGATGTAAGGAATTAACCCTTTAAACCTAGCATGAGTATGCATATTCTCCATACTGTTCTCTATACATTACCCAGGGTGCTGACAATGGGAACTTGTTTGACCCTTTACACCCAGACAATAGTGTCCATATTCTCAACACTGATTTCTCCACATTTCCTGTGGTAATGACAAGTAGAATCTGTTTGATAATCTGAAGCTCCTAAAATTGATGACTATTTCTACAATTCTCATCACCGTGACATTTCATTCAAGGGTAATATTGTAAGAGAAATTACAAGCCAGTCACTTTTAGGGGTTAAATGGTTAATAATAAAGGAGGACTGTTGGTTGTGTGATTCAGCAGTGATATTGTTTGGAGAAATTAGATGCTAATCACTCTTAGGGGTTAAAAGGTTAAAGAGCAGAGCAAACATTTTAGAGATCAAATGATTCAAGAAATGTAGAATGATACAAAGAAGCTTTTCAACTAACTCAGATTTGCATGTGAGCCAAGAAGCAGCTTATACAGGTACATATACTACTAAGAATGATCCAACATTTTGGAATTGAATCTTACTGTAAATTTTATTCATTTGTTAAATCTGGATAATTGAGGCCTGGATAATCATGGTTCAGCTAGATTGATCTTTAGAATCACTTTAAATACATATCTGTTCTTTAATTAATTGTTACAACTTGAAGGTTTACTTGAAATAATTTGGTCTTTTCTGGAAAAATCAAACTGTCTTAAGATTTTCAACTTTATTGGTTCGCTATGTAAGTCAAAAACTGTGAAATTTTCACAAGCTGAAATAAGTTTTGGAAATTCTCCAAATATAAAATTTGGGATGGTGGCCCACAACAAGAGAGCTAAACAGATTCTGTATGTCAAGATCAGTCAGGAGACTGAAGACAAGAAGTCTGGTCTTCTCTTTTAACCCTTCAACTCCTATAAGTGACCAAGACAGATTTCCCTCTTTACAATAGCATAGCAATAGCAATTGGCAAGGTGACTGTATTCACTAACTAAAGCAAAAACGCATGCAAGACACTTGCTTTAACACATGCTTTCTACCTTTTGTGCAGAAGGCGAAAAACATGCCTTTTGCATGTGCATTGACCATCTACCTCTGAGCTGTACTGTAAATACAACATCAAGCAGACAAAAATAAAGAAAATCACCAATCAGGGCATTATTTGTTGATCCACTACCATCTAATCCATTAATATTTGTACCTCGCAATTTATCTTGTTGCAATGTTGTTATCATGATTTAACATTGTTATTGTTCCTGCTTTTAGTTTCTTGAGGGTACTAGGGGGAAATTGATGGCTCATGAGGTGGATTTTTGGAAACCTTGGTTAGAAGAATACATGGCCTCTTTGAGCTTGTGTTTATCCCTGCATCAACCAGAAGTTTTGCACTGTTCAGGTAACAGGATATCAGTCAATTTAGGAAGGGGGCTTGATCTTTATTACAAATGATGTATTTCTGTCACTAAAATACGCTAAGTCAAGGAGCTATTTTCTGAAAAAGTCCTATTTAAGGAGTTGGTTCAACCATCCGACAGCTGATTCTGATAGACCAATACCTGCTCTTTAAGATAAGATACTATGTAGTCCCGAATTGTAGTACTCCTGACAAATATATTAGGAAAGCAATATATATCACGGTCGCGATTCCACATTTGTGGTATCATCCAAGCCATGCCAGAGGACTTGAACTAGATAAACTAGTGAGAATACGCAATAGCGATAGCAAAGCTTTGTAATGCCAAAGAGCTATATCAATATATATATATATACACCGGTGTTTCAGAAACCTTTGACAGCTTTAAGGAAAGAAAACTTCGTCGTCAATCCTATTTCAAATTCCGCAATAAGTTTATGCGCCTCATCAACAGAATTGATGTATCCTAAATTATCTGCATGTCTACCATCAAGCAATGTTTCGCGACTTAAAATTCTCGCTATGCTGTTTCTTTTTGTTCCTCAAGAATCATGGGATTTACAGCTTCGAATGTTCGGCTACATCACTTGCGGATTTCCGAGAATCTTCGGTTATGTTTTGCAAGTCATTAAATATTCCATCTCAGTCCTTCTCGACCGAGGTGGTTTTGGTGGATGGAATCTAATGCTGACCGGAAAAAAATTTCGGGAGTTACTACATCACTGGCGACGAGCGGGGCAGGAAGAAATGACCGAAGTACAAGTGGTCAGCGGGAAAACAAATTTAATACTTCATATAGAGACATATCAGTTGTAGTTGGAGAAAGCAATAGCGTTGTAAAGCCGACATGTGAACAGTATACTTCGCTCAATAAAATGTGAAACAATTTTTCAAAAGTGTTGATGGCACATATATCTTTTACTGCTATATTAGACAATGCAGGTATCAGGAAAGGCATCGGTTGCATTCGGAAAGGCACTAAGAAAAATTATATTTACGTTTTGTAACTTGCAAAAAACAATCGTGTTGTAAAGCCAAAATGTTACCAGGTTATACTTCGGTAATTCAAAAGTTAAGCAATTTTCCAAACGCTTTGACTGGAAAAATATTTTTACTGCTATATTAACCAACAGAGGCATCGGGAAAGGCATCGGTGACACCGGAAAAGGCATCAAGAAGAATGATATTTACGATATGTAACTTGTTGTTTGACGAAAAACAGTATCTTGACTTGTTTAGGGCATTAATCACAGTCGGTTTGCTTTTCACTTGAATTTTGCAATCTCGACTTTCGATTCCGGAAAAATGAAAAGCTAAGCAACTCTAAAAAAATTTCGTTCTAGATTTTTGTATTTTTAGAGTCATTAATAAGTTTGTATCCACAGCCTTTAGATAAAAAATTTTAAATTTCCATCTGCTGTAGTTCTTTTAGTGTTTATTATATATATTCAATCGCCTCGTTTCACGTGAAAAAGGCATGTAGGAAAACACTGAGCTTCTAGAAACAGCCAAGTTAAGGCTAATGTATTTACCATGCTTAAATATTTATAATGAGGGCCACTCGTTTAGGAGACCTTTTTTCAAAAGACCCAGGCGTTAAAAAAATTCTGTTTTCCATTCGAAGTGTTTTTTTTCTTTTTTATTTAACAAATGAACTCGGGATGAAAACTTTCGAAGCGAACGGCAGGTGAAATGTTGTGTTGGTGTCTCTGCCCCCCTACGTCTCTGCGAAAGGTACATCCAGACAACCTGCATGGAAAAACTGACCACAGCTATCGCACCACATTTTTAAAAAAAATCTTTAAAACTAAACTGGTTAGCAGCACTCTGCGAACGGTAGTTGTAAAATTTCTTTATTCTCCGACGCGTTTCGTTTAACTGTCGTAGACTTCTTCGGGGAGTTTTACAGTTTAACACTAAATAACTGTATTTATAAGCCATAGTTAGTGGCTATACGGGAGCCAATGACCATATAGGCTTGGCCGGACCTACGAATAGGAACTGGTGAAGTTGCGGAAAATTTGAAAATTATTTGGGGCAAGGTGGGAGAATTCATTTGGGGACCACGGTTTTGATTTTCTTTTTTCGTCACGCAGCAAGTTACAAAACGTAAATATAATTCTTCTTGGTGTCTTTTCAGATGCCACCGATGCCTTTTCCGATACCTCCATTGTTTATTACAGCAGTAAAAGATATATGTGCCATCAACACTTTTGAAAAATTGCTTAACATTTTATTTAGCGAAGTATACTGTTGACATTTCGGCTTTAGAAGACTATTGTTTTCCGCAACTATAACTGATATGTCTCTATATGATGTATTAAATTTGTTTACCCGCTGACCACTCGTATTTCGGTCTTTCTTCATCCCCCACTCGTCGCCCGTGACGTAGTAACTCCCAAAAATTTCCTTCCGCTAAAATGGCGACCAATATAGTTATAGTTATAGCTATAGTTATCGATCGAGATGTATGTGCTACGTTTTGGAAACAAACTTAACGAGGAAGTTTGCCGCGGATTTATCTTTGCAAATTTATTTAATTCACTATATCTCTTAGTAAGGTTATGATGAAACGTTGTAGTCGCCAATTTGGCGACTAACTTTCAGGATTTAGTCGCAAAGGTGAAAAAATTAGTCGCATTGGCGCCTGTATTAGGCGCAATTTCACGCCCTGAGTGATGGTAGAATATTACTACGGTCTACCCTGTAAAAGTAAACAGAACTTACCTCGTGTAGAATCGTTACGTACGTGTCCAGAAAGCTCAGCGCGAACGAGCGATTACACTTTGGTGATAAATGATCGAGGGGCGTTGCGTTTGCCGTTTGTAGTCAAGGAGCTATTTTCTGAAAAAGCCTTATTTAAGGAGTTGGTTCAACCATCCGACAGCTGATTCTGATAGACCAATACCTGCTCTTTAAGATAAGATACTATTTAGTCCCGAATTGTGGTACTCCTGATATTGGGAAAGCAGTATATATCAACGGTGGCAACACGATCTCCTCCCTGAACAAAAGATTGTCATAGCTTCTCGTACTGGAGAAAATTGTCGAGATCATGTTGCAATAAGCAGAGGGGCATTTTGTCGGGTAAATTTCAGTTTGATACGAGAAACCGCTGGTATGCGCCTGCGTCGGTTTCCCGCTCTAGAATCACGAAAGAAAAGAAGCAGTAAAATACGTCGGACTAGACCCTGTGAGCAGGGTAACTGGGATACCTGGATGGTACTGGATCCTTGGAATCAAGTGTAGTGATACTACGGGTGTCGGACTAGTATACTGAAATAGTGCGCTCAAGTCTGGCCAAGGGCATACACCTATTTTGAAACATAGGCATGCTATGCATGCAAGAGTTACTTTTTTGTAGGGTGTGTGGATTACTTGAAACATTGTGAGTGATGTCTACATTCTTACAAAAGGAGAGGAGAATATTAATGTGGGAAAGAACGAAAATGTCGAATAACTTCACTCACAGGTATTTTGTGGTAGATTATGTGTGTTTTGCAAATAAATGTAACCAAAAATAAACAGTATTGGTGCCACGGATACCTGTTAGCACAAAATGCAGACAGCAGACTGCAGACCAGATACAAAATATAGACTGCAGACTGCAGAGTGGGTACAAAATGCAGACTAAGAATCTGAAGAGTTTTTACACTGGTATATAATAACATGTCATCTTACAGCTTACCGAGCGTCACGCAATCGCTTTTCTGCGATCCGCCTTCACGATTATTTGCACTATTGTGGAATATTCCTGGCCCATTTCTTTAGATATACCTATCGATAGAGTGCCAACGAGCGATCAATTTGTGGTTTGATAAGGGGGTTTATGCTGAGGCATAGTTTTTTCCAATTGATAAAAGGGTTTTTAATAAGAGTAACATGGAAACTGTACTAAGGTTTTAAGGGCTTGGTAATATTAACCAAGTCATTTAATAACTTGAACATGTGAAAGGATGTGAATAGTTCTTGTTATTAATGTAACATTATAAAGAATAACATAACAAAGAATATGAATTGTGTTGTATTGTATAACTGTTGCTTTGAAAGAGCATAAAAAAACAACACTGAATTTTTCATTTACAATATGTTGATTGAAGCATATAGAAGGGGTTTTGGTTAGTACAATGTTTGTGAACAGAAACATACATGCACTAGTCTTTGCGAACTTAGTAATCTTAAAAAAAGCATATGAACTTGAACGTGAAAACCAATGTGAATGGTTTTCTGCTATTAATACAACATCTTGAACATCAATAGCATGGTAAGAAATAAGATTAACTTGTTTCGTATGTATGCTTTCAAATAACAGGTAACGTAACATTGAATCAGAACATGGTAATGAAAGTTCGTTGAAGTCTTGATACTTAAGTGTTGTAAATAAATATTTAGTCGGTGGTCTGGCTTTGTTAATTCTGTACTGTAGGACAGTTTAACTTGACAGTGAAGATGATGATATTTCAGTGATCACTTTTCTGTTAACATTATATTTGAATTCTATGTCTTGAAGATCCATAAGTAGTTCTTCAATTGTGTCCGAGTCACTAAGTAATGAGATTGTCGGGTGGGTGGCGAAGAGGGACTCCAAGACATCTGTAAATGCTGTTAACCAAATGTCCTTTTCATCCAAATGTACAAGTAGTTGAACAGATGCATCTCGTTTGCATTGCATCTTTCTTTGTTGGACTCCACAGTTTTTACATTTGAGTGTGTTCTGTTGGGAGATTTCATTAATTTTGCGTTTGCATGCTTGGCAGGTGATGAAAATGCTTAGTTTGTTGATCATTTTGAAGCTCTCTACTTTTGCTTCTTTCTCTGGATTTGCAAGTAATGCAGGGCCATTTATAGGTTTCAGTTGTTGATTGGCTTCTTTAAACGTTGTTGTAGGGGTTGTTCCCAGATGAGTGATCCCTTGGAAGTGCTTTACAGTAAGGTTTTCAAACTCATATGTGGTGCCAGTTTTGATGTTCTTGAAAAGTGGATCCCATATATGAATAGTAGCAGTTCCAGTTTCATCCTCCAGGACACAGTCTTCCTTTACAGTTGTCATTTCACTTGAGGATTTCAATTGCACAGGTTTAGGGTTTTCATTTCCCAGTGAAATGGAAGCAGTGACATTTACTTTCTGATTGACTTGGAGTGTGGGGAGCTCCTCAAGTGTAATCTTCTTGGCAGGCTGAGTTGAGGGCTCAGTCTTTTGGGATTTGTTGATGGGTTTGTAATCAAAATCAATATCAAAGGTTGGTGTTACCCTTACTGTTGATTGCTGGTTGAATATGATGTCATTGTTGCTGTTTTGCTTAGTGTTTTTGAGGGTTACAGCTGTTTTTGACGCTTCATGTTCTTGTAGCATGGAGTGGTTTGCAATATTAAATCCTACAACTCGTCTCAATTTTGATGGGCTGGTTTGTAAATCAAAATCATACCACTGATTTTGATTTCGTGAGCGTTTTATAGGACTCAAATTCTGAATGTAGCCACGGTGATTATCTAAGAAAGAGGAAATAAAAACTGAAGTTAGACATGAAATGTTGATCACAATAAGTTACTGCATCTTTTAATAACATGTGGACTGTAAAATTCATAACTAACAAATGTTTTTTTGGTACTGTCAATCAAATGTTCTGCAGCTCTTTGCAGCTCGTGACTACTGTCAATTGGGCAGTAATCAAATCAAATCATTCAGCACAGTTCAGACAGCAGAAGTTGGGAGGAGCCACCAAAGATTTCAGTGACGGTAGTGAAATTGCGTTTGTCAGTAAGGTTTGAATTTTAGAAATGGCAATATATTTTTTGTGTAGATGCAATCTAGTATGGTGAGGCCAGACGAAGATTTTGTAACAAAAATTACAAGGGGTTGTTTCCTTTCAGCAGTTCTTGCTCATTCAATCTCCCTCCCCACCTACTTTCCAAGTGAAGAAAACAGGAATATGGAGAACCACAAAAAACCAAACATTGTAAATTAAAGCTACAGGTACTTACCAGAGTTTGTATTTTCTTTTGACATGATTGACTGACAGGAGATCTGGAAACTGAAGAAAAAGAAAATTTTCAAACAGTGCAGAAACATTTTTTTTTGAAATATCAAAGATTTTGTAAGCAGAAAGCACTGACAATGCATTTCCTTTTTTTTAGAGTAGAATATGAAATGTGAAATGTTTGTTGAAAATATTTGGAACCAGTCACCACAGGGAGACAAGATCAAAATTGTACAAAGTTGATTTTGAATTGTAATTGACTTTTTATCTTTTAATCTTAAGTGTAAAAGAAATATTTATGCGTGCATTGATCGCTTTGATTTGTTTAAAAGAGTATGACATATACGAAAATTTTTTTTAAGATATTTTGAGATGTGAATTCAGTGTTTCATTAGCCAACATATCAAGACGGTTTTCTTCTTCTAATCTAAACTTAAAGTTAGTAGACTTTTTGACCGCTTGTAACCTCTCTAGTGTCATTGGCTCAATAAGAAGATCTTGTATTTTTTTTACCCTGCTTAAAGCAACATATGTAATTCCAGGAGATCTTTCTGATGATCCTAAATCAATCCAAGCTTTAGAGAGGGTCAGACCTTGACATTTATGAATTGTCATCGCCCAGGCTAATTTTAATGGCAATTGCTGTCTCTCATATTTTTTTCCTAAACTTTCTGAAACTTGGGTGATGGGACAAATTGGGACACATCTTTGAAACAGAGAAGAAACTGATGGTCCTTTATATTCATCATCAAATTGAACCAATACACATATTGGAAGACATGGAGGTTGTTGTCCTTCAGCATACACAAAGTCAAGTACTGTGCCTAATGCTCCATTACAAAGGCCAACATCAGTCCATAGATTCATCGTTAACATTACTTTTGCTCCTTTTGATAAGTAAACTATAGGTTCAAGGCCTCCCATGTCATCAGCACTAAGTGTTTGTGCTCCAATAGAGTGACGAGCTTTAATTATTGCTATTGGTTGACCCAAGCTTTTAAGTCTACTAATGTTTAATTCTGCGACTTTTTCCTTATGATAACAAATTCTTACAGAATTATTTTCAAACTCATTCACATTGTGCACTTTGTCCGGTGTTCTGGAAATTAAAGAGTGCCAATCTGATTCAGTTGATTCACCATGGCGAGCTCGGGTTAGCATTTCCCTAAAATTGGATTGTTCAATATTGTTTCCTTGAACTCTTTGATTAACTGTCAATTTAACAACTTTCTTGAATTCATGATATAGGAGAAAACCTTGAATTTGCTTTTCTGTTTTTGGCATAGAATGGTAAAGTGGTTTGTCACCTACTGGTGGTAACTGAGCTATGTCACCGACAAGAATGACAGATATGCTGCCAAATGTCATGTCTGTTCGTCCAGTAGCTTGTCTGCAACGACTATCAATCCATCCGAACAAACTCTGGCCAACGAAAGAGTATTCATCTATTATTAAATATTGAACGTTTTCAAGGTTACTTTGCAGTTGTTGCAAAGGTATTCCTTTTAAATCACAATGTCTCTTTGAACCAATAGGTAATTTTAGCAGTGAATGTAGCGTTACTCCATTGACATTGAATGATGCTTTTCCAGTGTAAGCTAAAACCTTACATTTTTCCTGAAGCAAATTTCTTAAGGAATCAATGAGATAGCTTTTCCCTGTTCCTGCTACACCCATAATAAGAAAGCGCAAGGGATTTTGTTCACCACTGGCAAAATGATTGGAAACTATTTGATAAGCTACTTGCTGCATTCTACTAAAAGTTGAAGTATCTATGATTCTTGTTTCACAGGAATGGTGAGCACTATTCTTGTTTTTCTCTCTGTTTATCCATGTAGGCATTGCATTTATCTCATCATTTGTGAAATACTGATACACTTGATGCCAATATGCATGTGGTACAGGTGTAGATTTCTCACAAGTATCAGTTGTTTGAATAGTCAACTCTGCCATAAGCATCCACTCTTCTCTTTCACTTTTGGTGTTGTAATCTTCTTCAAAAGAATCCTCATTCAAAGGTGTTATGCATATGTAGTTGTTTACATCTTGCATTTTGGTTTCCCAATCAGGGACTAAGGATTTTGCAGTATCAGTTAGCAAGAATTTTTTCCAACATGTTGTGTATGTCTCATCAGCCTGTGGAAGGTTATCCCATGCATCATCTGGTGTATATTGCCAGGGTTTGTATTTAAGCAACTGATATTTACAAAACAAACCATAGTCTTCACTCTTTGGATTGGATGAATAATTAGGATAGGTTTTGACAATTACACTTTTGTCTCTTTGTTTAAGTTTAGAGGCTTTGAAAGTAAACATTGATGCAAACTTGAAAAAATTGTACTCTAATAACTGCGGGTCTACCTTGAGATACTTGTAACGTTCAGCATAGGTATCAAGCAATGAAGGAGCAGTACAAATTTGGTTATTTGCTTTAAGGTGTACTCTTCTCGATCCATCAAGAGATGCAGTGATAACCTCATGTGTTGCACTTACAAATTTTATTGACAGTAAATGATGCATTACCTCTTGAATAGAATAGTCTCTTTGACCAACAGTTTTCAGCAAAATTTGCTTAAGGGCACTTGGAGTATCAGTTGTATCATTCATTTTGGTGATAATATTGGTGAAAGCATTTTTGACAACAGAAGATGCTTTCTCAGCTTTGGATGTGTATTTAACAAGATATTCCAGACAGGCATGATAATCTATAACAATTTGAATGTCGCAATTTGCTCTCCACCCTTGAAGTTGTAATGGTTGATGACGATTCAATCTAGAGTCATTTCGTTTTGTGACAATAACAGCTTTATATTTTGTTTCGCCAGTTTTTGTATTTATTGGTTCAAAATCAAGTCTAGTGTCAGGACAGTCGTCATAAGGAAAGTTAAATCTACAATGCAATTCGGATTTGTCATTTTGTCGAAGACAATATTTAGTACTACATGTAGTGTGTCTCTCGACTGAATTTAACAAATGTACGTAATCATTTGCCATTTCATTGGTTTTTAATGAAAGATATGATTTTTGACATGGGTGAATTTCTGGTTTTGACCATCCATCATCAGGAGAGGAAGGATTCCAGGTTGACATCAAAAAGTCAACATATCTACAAAGGATTGTCTCAGCCTCTTTGCCTTCTTGTATTTCGTTGTCAATATTCACAATTTGCTCTTTAGTTAGTTCATGTTGGTTTTCACTTTTAAATTTTGAAGCTAAGTATCCCTTGAGGGCCTTCTCAGTGAGGGTACATAATCCTGGGTCATTTTTTAATTTAGCAACTCCATGACAATGGATTGATCCTCTTTGGACTGCATATTCATATCTATACCAATGCCAGGAAGAGTGCAGTGATTCTTTCAACCAAAACTTGACAAACCGATCAGTTCTTTCTGAAAAGACCCAATCTAACAGATGTGGATTGTTTAAAACATTTTTGTGTCTATCACCTGGAGTCAGTTTTTCAGTGAAACTGTTGCTTAAAAGCTTGTGAAATTCTGGCCAGTGATATTCTGCACATGATAAAGTAAAAAATATTGTTGGAGGTCCCTTTTGGCTTATTGTAGCTTTCAAATCTTCTTTTGACTTTTGCCAATAACCAGTGCTACCAGTTATGTTTTTGGCATAATGCATCAGCTTAGACATAAGTGAAGAATAGCTATTGGTAGTAAGCATTTTTTTTAGTTGTTCAACAGTTAGGTGGGCTTCATTTGGATTTTGTTTAAGAAATATACTACCCTGACCAAGAAGTCTGTGTCTTTGGATCATATTGAATGCCCAGTAAGCAAATCGTGGATGTCTTGCAAATCTGTACACCCATTCACCATTGATGTTTTCAGCAAACTTTATCAAATGCTTTACTTTTTCACCCAAGGTTGCATGTCGCTTTGTAGCAGTATTAGTTGGATCGCCTGTACCATCAGGGAAAAGAGTGGGAAAAGCCATTGTTGCTAGTAGTTGAATTTTGAACTCATTTAAAGGTTTGCTTCCCCTATTAGGCCATGCAGTTTTATGGTGTTGTAATAGTTCGTCTTTTATTAGCTGCTTTTGTGGCTTCAAAACAACAGGATTTAATACAGTGCTGCTTAACTCTGTTTCATGATTGAATGGTATTTCATCACTATCAAGTGGACCTCTATCTGGATCTATTTCATCGTCACTGATTTTAGTACAATGAACCTTTTGCAAGTCACTAGGAATTCCTTCAGTTGGAAGGGAAGACAAACAAGTATAATCAATTTTAATGTTTTTGTACACAGGATTGTGATCAACTAACCACTGCAGAGCCATAGAAACTTTTTGTCTTCGAACAATTAAATCTTTAGAAGTGTTATTCTTGCCTTCCGCTATTATTACTATTATAGGGAGTTCTTTGGGATATTTTGGTAGTGTGTCTGCAAGATCCTGGATATCTTGGGGGAAATTAATGCAATGACCTTTATAGGCTCTTTGTCCACCTGGCTTTGTGTAAACACTGATAACTGGAAAAGCACGAGCAATTAACATCTCTTCTATTTGGGTTAGACCTTGTAATTCTTTTGGAACTTGAGCTGGTATCATGCTGTTTTGAGCAGAGAACTTTTTAATACTGTTCTTGTCTCTTACACATCTTGAACAAACATAGTCTGCTTCTTTTTTGTTTTTTACTGACAATGGCCATGCTTCATGGCAAACTCGGCAATGCCAGATTTTGAAAATCATGGACTCATGAAACCTCTTTATATTAATTGCTGCCCACTCCTGATGGTGAAGTTGTCCATATGTTTTAGCATCAAACAGTGAAAGATACTTATCTTGACTTACCACAGGACACTGTTTTGTTTTTTTTTTCAATGAACTGTGTTCCTGCTTCACAAGTAGTTTGATTATTAACAATTTTCATTTTACTTCCAGAGTTGTTTTGGTCACTTTTCTTTCTTTTTCTATATTCCTTCATGTAATCTTTGTTCTTAATCCTTTTTCTTAGTTTGTCTGCTTCATTTGTAGGCATTTTTTTTAATGTTGTCCTTTTCCTATAATCCTTCACATACTGTTTGTTTTTTATCCTTTTTCTTAGTTTATCTTCTTCATTTGTAGTCAAGTTTTTTTTTATGTTATTCTTTTTCTATATTCCTTCATGTACGCTTTGCTCTTGATCCTTTCTCTTAGTTTATCTGCTTCATTTGTAGTCAATTTTTTCTTAAGGTTATTTTTTTTTCTATATTCCTTCATATATGCTTTGTTCCTGATCCTTTTTCTTAGTTTATCTGCCTCATTTGTAGTCAATTGTTTCTTAATGTTATTTTTTTTTCTATATTCTTTCATGTATGCTTTGTTCTTGATCCTTTTCCTTAGTTTATCCGTTTCATTTGTAGTCAATTTTTTTTTATTATGCTGCCACCTGCACTCATTTTCATTAGTTCTCTCTTCTAATTTACCTATGCCATTTGTAACATCTGATTTTTTGTTTCTGTATTTTTTCAGATGTTTTTGTTGTGTATCCAACTTAAGTCTCTTATCAGCTTCCTTTATTTCTGATTGTGTCCTTTTTTTGTTATTAAACGAATCATCTTGTTTACTTTCTTCCTCAATTTGATATGAAGAAGAGCTCAATTTGCCTGATTTAAAAAACACATTAGGCACCTGAGATTGAGTTCCACCCTGCATGGTTTCATAGCATTTGTCTTTTGGAAATGCTTCAGTTGGGCTATTTGGCTGTAAATCAGTTTCAATTGTGGATGAACACTTTTCAAAAACAGCAAAAAACCAACCATTAGGGTAATTATTCAAAAGATCCTGAATTGAAGTGAAACTTCTCACTGACACACACAAATCATCAATATATATCCATTCAGTGTGATTATTTATAGCCACTGTAAAATGATGACTTGCACAGCGTACCATGCCTTTTAGTTCATAACTTTGACCTAACACATCGATGATGTGGGGAAAGTATACTTTATTGATACAAGTTGAAGCAAGTTCTATGAGTAAAAATTTTGGAAGGATAACAAAATGTTGTAGCAATGAAACATTCCCAGAATGCTGTTGACACAGACCACAGAAAAGTGCTTTGCTACTTGGAAGTATTGCCTCAGAAACATAATTGTCAAATAAGCTATGACCCCAGTTTTGGCAAGTAATATAAATAACAAATATACTTGTATTTTTTATGATTGCATTGTTGCACAATGAGCAAACTGACTGATTGCTCTCTTCTACCAAAAAAAGGATTGCAATTCTTCGGTCATAACTCCAACTGTGCTTAATTTGAATATGTCACTAAATACAGCATCTGCAGACATTGTAGCAAATGAGTTACAATGCTGTCTCAAATAAGCCCAAACAGGTTCTCGAATAAGGGTCATATCCGTCTCCCCATTACAACTTTGTAAATGCACACATGCTTCAAATAACGTTTGAAAAAACTCATTACGTTCAACACGTTGCAAAGAATCTCTAAAAATAGCAAAAGTGAGTTCAAGAAAAGAGTCAACTGCACAAGAAAACCTGCCCGAGTGTGTTAAGCAGTAATTCATAAAATGTCTTCGATTATTATTCGTCTCTTGCAACTGTTGATTGGAAGAGGTGGCCTCATTCTTCTTAATGTAACCGACACTTATGTTTCCATTTACAATATGCGCTTCTTTATTTGTTATAATGTAAGGATTAAAGCTTCCGTGTGAGGCATGGGGAATTCTCCTTTGTAAATATTTTCCGCTATATTTCATAATACGTATTATGTTCTTGTTAAATGAAAAATAATATAAACTTGAGCATCCGTAGGAAAACTTCGTACTAACCCCCAGTATTTACATTGTAATGATGTAATTTCAGTAAAAATATTTTGAGTACTGCGTATCATAAACACACCATGATTGATAAGTGCGAGAAATATACAAACTGCTTTGATTCCGTTTGTGAATACGCTGTTTGGAGGGGAGTAGTCCGCCAACGCTGCTCAATCGAACTTTCAGTGCAAAGTGAAAGTGAGAGGGAACAAGCTACTTCGATTCATGAACTTTCAGTTCGATACGCTAGTTCGATTGATGAACAAGCTCGTTCAATTCTCTGGTGAACACGCTGGTTCGATTTCGTGATTGCTGAACTTTCAGTTCGATACGCTGGTTCGATTGATGAACACGCTCGTTCAATTCTGTGGTGAACACGCTGGTTCGATTTCGTGTCTCGAACACTGAATTTGAACACTGGATTTGCTCTAGTTCCAACAGTTTTCCTCAATATTCGAATTAGATGAAGAGTTTTGTAAAGGCACGCTGGTCGATTGAAGTTTAAGCTTGATTGATGAACACGCTGGTTCTATTGATTGCTGAACTCGCTGGTTCAAATCAGTAGCGAACACGCTGGTTCTATTGATCTCTCTACCACTATGTAACACGCTAGTGCTATTGGTCTCTCGACCACTGTATATTCTGAGCCTATGAAATTCTTTACAATTCAATAACGACCACAACAAAGAAAACACTCACCTTCTACAACAAGACCGCTGTATATTCTGAGCAAAGTGAGAGGAAACAAGCTACTTCGGTCGATGAACTTTCAGTTTGATACACTAGTTCGATTGATGAACACGCTCGTTCAATTCTGTGGTGAACACGCTGGTTCGATTTCGTATCTCAAACAGTGAATTTGAACACTGGATTTGCTCTAGTTTCAACAGTTTTCCTCAATATTCGAATTAGATGAAGAGTTTTGTAAAGGAACGCTGGTCGATTGAAGTTTTAGTTTGATTGATGAACACGCTGGTCCTATTGATTGCTAAACTCGCTGGTTCAAGTCAGTAGCGAACACGCTGGTTCTAATGATCTCTCAACCGCTGTATAACACGCTAGTGCTATTGGTCTCTTGACCACTGTATTTTCTGAGCCTATGAAATTCTCTACAATTCAATAACGACCACAACAAAGAAAACACTCACCTTCTACAACAAGATCGAGCTGCTTGTCTTCAAACCAAACGAAGAGCCGCTTCCACAAACAAGCTCATCAAACAACCACGCGAAAGTGTCTAGATGTACCGCCTCCTGATTGGTTAAAAACTACAATGTAACACGTCTTTTCATTGGCTTGAATAGTTCCTTCCTTGCAATTGGCTTAAACTGAGACATTCTTACATCTTACATCTTACACCTTACACTAACACTTTTCAATGCCGATCGAGAATTTTTTCGCATACACCATTCTTCGCGCGGCACTATTCTCTGCCGCCTCGCCAGCCGAGCGTCTTCGCTCGGCTGGCTCGTTGGCAAAAATCAATTCTAATTGAGCTAGAATTACTATTAAGGTTTTCTTTTTTTTTCAGCAAGTTAACTGGGAAACCTGGCACATCTTTGAGTAAGATATTTTAAAAATACGACTTATTTAAAATCAACGGATGTAAATATTTGTTTGTTACTGTACTAATTGTAGCTAAGTCGCTCGTGCGTGACGCAGATTAGGGAGCGAGCCTGTGAGATTTAATTTCAGCTCGTGGTAATTTTGGTGTTTTCATAGTTTGTTTTACCTGTGTAGACAATATTTAACATTAATATATATTTTTAAAACGCTTCAAACCGCTAAAAAGGCAAAACCCTTATGTTTTATGTACAAACTTTGGCCGAGGAGTTAATTTATTCAATAGTGCTTTGTTATGTAGAGTTGTAGATTTCAAAGGTGCTCAATTGGAATTTTATCGAATTTTGATCGGCGTTCATGCAAAAGTGCTACTAGATCCTAAAGATTTAAAACCGTAGACCTAAAAATCAATGACTGAACTGTCTTTGGTTATAATATCAGAAGATTTGAAGAACTACCGGTCAGTTTTTTTCGTCGCTAAGTTTGGATTATTTTACACGTTCGCGTAAATGAGAAAAGTGTGTCTTCTTAATCGGGTCTCAGTTCGCTCACAAATAAGCAGAGATAAAAATAATTCCCATGGTTTGACTAAGGAAGAATCAATGTATTCAATTATACTTAAGAAAGATTCACAGCTATGTAAACGTCTGTGTAGCGAGAAGCTGAAAAGTGTAAAATTTTGAGTTTCCGCTAGGTGAAATCCGAGCTTCCGGTAGGGTGACCGTTTTTCGTGGTTTTCTGCCGTTATATGGAATATTTAAAAAAACTAACCTCATATCCTTCAGTTCCTTACCTAGGCCTTCAAACTGACAAAGTATGAGCGCAATCGATTTTTTGACCGTGGCCACGTTTTTTGAATTTTCCTTGATTTTTACTGACATTTACTCTTAATAAGTTTGTATCCACAGCCTTTAGATAAGAAATTTTAAATTTCCATCTGCTTTAGTTCTTTTAGTGTTTATTGTATATATTCAATCGCCTCGTTTCACGTGAAAAAGGCATGTAGGAAAACACTGAGCTTCGAGAAACAGCCTAGTTAAGGCTAATGTATTTACCATGCTTAAATATTTATAATCAGGGCCACTCGTTTAGGAGACCTTTTTTCAAAAGACCCAGGCGTTAAAATAATTCTGTTTTCCGTTCGAAGTGTTTTTTTCTTTTTTATTTAACAAATGAACTCGGGATGAAAACTTTCGAAGCGAACGGCAGGTGAAATGTTGTGTTGGTGTCTCTGCCCCCCCCCCACGTCTCTGCGAAAGGTACATCCAGACAACCTGCATGGAAAAACTGACCATAGCTATCGCACCACATTTTTTAAAAAAATTTTTTAAACTAAACTGGTTAGCAGTACTCTGCGAACGGTAGTTGTAAAATTTCTTTATTCTCCGACGCGTTTCGTTTAACTGTCGTAGACTTCTTCGGGAAGTTTTACAGTTTAACACTAAATAACTGTATTTATAAGCCATAGTTAGTGGCTATACGGGAGCCAATGACCATATAGGCTTGGCCGGACCTACGAATAGGAACTGGTGAAGTTGCGGAAAATTTGAAAATTTTTTGGGGCAAGGTGGGAGAATTCATTTGGGGACCACGGTTTTGGTTTTCTTTTTTCGTCACGCAGCAAGTTACAAAACGTAAATATAATTCTTCTTGGTGTCTTTCCAGATGCCACCGATGCCTTTTCCGATACCTCCATTGTTTATTACAGCAGTAAAAGATATATGTGTCATCAACACTTTTGAAAAATTGCTTAACATTTTAGTTAGCGAAGTATACTGTTGACATTTCGGCTTTAGAAGACTATTGTTTTCCGCAACTATAACTGATATGTGACTATATGAATTATTAAATTTGTTTACCCGCTGACCACTCGTATTTCGGTCTTTTCTTCATCCCCCACTCGTCGCCCATGACGTAGTAACTCCCAGACTTTCAGTCACAATTCTTCCGCCTGTGTCCGCCGTGTTGGTCGGCCAACCAGTACAAGTGAAAGCCTGTATCATCTTCGCGCTACAGAAGACCCATATGTTCAGAAAATATGTCTGAAATCGAGTATAATAAGCTTGTATTTAAGATAAGTACAAAAATTGGCGTAAACCAATTGGAAAAATTGTTTTTTATGTGCAGATGGCAGATCTCAAAAGGCAGCAAAGGAAGGATTAAAAATGCACTCGAATTATTTGAAGAACTTGAGAATCAAGGTTACCTCGGAATTGACCGGTTAGAAACGTTGAAACAGATTTTGGAACAGTTGAAGAACCAACGCATGCTCGAGAAGGTGAAAGAGTTTGAGAACAAGAGAAAAGGTGCCCAATTAATGCTAGTCATTTTTTAAGATTCAGCGAAGAAAATTTGAAAAGCCGGAAGTGCCTTTTTGCTCAAGAAGTTCAATTTAAGGCTTACAGCTTCTTCACAGATTGCAAAAGAAATTATTTCTGGTGGAGAGGGATTATGTAGTAATTTGATAATTTCATTTAGCAGATATTGCTTTAGAATTTTATGTTCCCATGATCCCAGTATCAAGAATCTTTTGTCATCATGGCTTTAGATAACCATACGAATCCTTTAACTTTCAGCTCAGTCAGTCGGCATCATTGCTTCATTTAAGCAGGCCGCTGTCAATTTGAAAGGAGGTAAGGTGTGAAAAGGCAGGGTTCTTGTGCATGTAAAATATTTAGGGTAAACAGGCATAGGCCAGATGCTGAATACGAGTAAAAGAAATACAAGATAAAATTAGATAGTATTTATAATGGTGTTAGAATCAGTGTTTGGCTAGTTATGCATTACAGCACAGTTTTATTAGAGTGTTTTTGTCTGCTTCACAATAAAGTAGACTCTTTTAAGTCCCAGTTCATCTAATATAAGTTCCAAGTAGCCAAAAACAATGATAATCAGGGATACAGGCAAAAATACATGACTTAGTTCCAACCTCTCTACTAAACTTTCCATTTTGAAGGAGTATCAAATAGTTTAATTCTTTCAATGCTCACAAACTTTTAAAATTTGGCTTCTGCTTGGTGTACTGACAAAATTTGAAAATACATTTATTTGCCCATTCTAACACAAATTAGTTCAACCTGACAAGGCGCTCATCTGGAAGCTATAGAGAGAGAATTAATTAGGATTTATGCTTGTGGAAAATTTGCTATCTATGTAATAATGTAATGTTGTCATTAGCTTTCAATCACAACTGGAAAATTACATTTAAGAAAAGCAGACTTTTGTCCAGAGGTCTTGTTTGAAATTTATACACAAATGGCCTTCAGCCTGTAGTTGACTACTGTTAATGTGATGAGGTGACTTCAAAATCTGCCTGATTAATTGTTTTCAACAGATTTTTGTACAGATTTTCATACCTGGCATTTAACAATGGTCAAAAGCATTCCAGTCATGTCACATGAATTCATTTGCATTGTGAGAACAAAACCAAAAGATCGTGTACAGGCTGGAACTCTTATCACCACTGTTAATTATTTTATCTGTGAATTTTGCCCAGCTTTAAATTAAAAAAATTATTATTCTCCTCCACAAAACACTATTGGTTGCTGACTAAGTTTTTAGTACCAGTATTTGCAAATAGTTCTAATACATGTAGTAAGACATAGAGGTGAAAACTAATATGAACAAAATACCTTACAAAATTACCTTTGGATACTGATTCTTGGCCCTAATAGTTTGTATCGTACAACTACAATAAGTTAATAAAGTTAAGTTCTATTTTACTGACACTTTTATCAGTGATCAGGTGATTAGAGTTTGTGTAATGTGTTACTACAATCCTAGCAGTATGCAGGACACATGATGTCACATGAACTTCATAATAGACCTCACTTACTGTAGAATCCTTGTGGCTAATAGTGGTAGGGCATTGGAGTGTGGAATCTGTAGGTCTGAGGCTCAGAACCTACCATCTTCCTTATTCTATTTGCAAACTCCTGTTTTGCATACAGTTACAAAAACCTGAACACATCATTTACAGTGGCAAAGCCATGCAAAATTAAATTTGTATGGCTTTTTAGTGTTGTTCTTGTGGGTTGAATATTACATCCTAGCTTATTTCTGCCCTCTTACAAGAAAGCATATCAATACTGTATATTGATTAATTTTAAGAAAGATGTTTTTTGTCTTGTCACAAGCGTGGGACAAAGAAAAATTCTGAGTCTCATGAGGAATCGAACCCCAGACCTTCAGATTTGCACTCCAATGCTCTACCACTGAGCCACAAAGACTCTTCGGTGAGCAAGGTCTATTATAAAATTCTAATGACACGTGTCCCGCATACTGCTAGGATCAGCAATGTTGATAATGTAATGTTTTTGACAGAAAAGTAGGGATGGTAAGTTTTGAGCTCAGTGAAGAATTAAGAAAGATGTTTTTTCGTCTTGTCACGAGCGCGGGACAAAGAAAAATTCTGAGTCCCCATGAGGACTAATTCTGAGGACATTAATTCTTCGCCAAGCTCAAAACTTACCATCCCTACTTTTTTTGATTAATTTTGTTTCTAAATACACACTGAGAAACTGTTAGAAACTGTAACTATCTCAAAAACAACATTTTTCCCTTAAATGTTCTTAAAAGAGAAGTTCGACTGTCCAATCATATATCCTCATATTTAAAATGTAGTCTTAACTTGATGCTTAAATAATTTTGAATATGATTAATTCAGAGAGTAATTAATTTCTTACTTGTATAAAAAAAATCTGCAGTTGTAAAGAAGCTACTTTTATACCACAAATAATTTTGAGAGTATATATAATTGATCAATATAATTGTATTTTTAATGTCTTAAAATCACTCAAACAGGGCTGTCATCCTTGAGTGACTGATATTGTAAAAATCACTGGATTAGTGTGTGTATGTGTGGGTGGGTGTAAGTGCATGTTGCGTGCTGAGAGTGGGTGGGTGGGTGAGTATGTGGAGGGGGGAGGGGGCAGCATTGTAGTGCAATTCTATCTTGGAGGAAATGTTTTGGAAAAATTTGCTATATGTCTGTTGCAATGTTTCTTTCAATGATATATTGTGATTAAGTAATATCAAAAATTACTTGTTTCAATAGCGATCAAGATGATTTGTAACTTTCGCAACATTGGTGGTGCTCTCGTGGTAGTTAGTGCCGGCATGGCTCTCTATCAATGCTCAACTCTTGATGAGTATTTGGAGACCTTTAACAAAGTTGTGTTGCCTGCAAGCACCAAACTGATTGGAATCAGTGAGGGATCTCTGTGCTTCACAGTACAAGCAGAGACGCCAGCAGCTCTAAAGGAGTTATGGGACATCTACAAAGATGGAACATTGCAGAGACGTCTTCAAAAATTTCTAGGTAACGATGACATCAAACAGTTGACAAATGCAGAAGACATTGAGGTGGCTGTTTTCATTGATGAACAAGAGTATATGACATCATTTAATTTTCTGCAAAATCAAGGTATGGTAACATATGTACAGATGCGTGTTGAATTTAAGTTTGGACATAACGTTGGACGAGAAAAGCTACTACAATAGAGTTAACATTCCTGGGAAAAGTTGTTGAAAACATATGCTATATCCAAATATTCAAAAAGACCAATTCTTGCGTGTACACAGAACTTCCCCTTCCCCCTCGAACGATGTTGTTAAAACTTAACAGTCACCACGTCTTAGTCAAGTTTACAGAGCACACAAATTCGACATTCTTTGGGGGGGAGGGGGAAGAATTTGATATTAGTAATTTTGCATTAAGTTTCCCTCCTTTGTTGGTCAAACAATATGGAACACGTTTCATCAAGGTGATGCTGATTCCGTTTGCAACTATGAATTATATAAAAAAGGGAAAAGTAAGACTCACCCTTTCAACACTGGAAGCTAATCCTCAACTGAAACAAGTAATGCGTTTAAAAAGAACATACTGTTACCCAGAAACGATGTCGTTATCTTACATTGAACAATGATTGCTGCATCTGACAATCCAGCAAGATTAGTTGATCCTAACTCAACCCTCTTTCTTATTGTATCCTTCCGGCAGTGCCTGATTCGAAAGAAGAGCGGTTTCGAAGGAAATCTGACTCCTTCTTTCACATCAATTCAAATCAGAGAGAGATTGCTATGATGAAGCTGACACAGGCAGAAAACCAGTTGAGCTTTGAAAGACAAGTTCATGGAGAGGAAATAAAGAAACTCAAGGAGAAGATTATCCTGGCAAGAGAGTCAAGGGGTAGGATTGATTAAACTCTACCTTTTGTACGTATCCTATGCTCTGGCTGGGATCAGTTATGGGACAATGTGAAGGTTATATTTACATTTTCTTAGGATCATTTTATTTATATATTTAATTTTTTTTAAATGTCTTTTTATTTTTTATTTATTTTTTTATTTTTTATTTATTTATTTTTTAATTTTTAGTTTTTAGTATCTATGTATGAAAATTCTTAGATTGATAATTGCACAATATAATACTATTTATTATTATTATTATTATTATTACAAGTACCTTCTAATTGACCAGGCTAATTCAGACAGTTCTAGAGCTGCATCGGCAAACTGAATAATACGTAAGAACCAATTGGATTCACTCATTTTCTGTTTGAAACAATTTTATCCATAATCAAATTTCTGAGTTAGTTTGCTGGCCCAAAGAAGCTCCGGAATTATTGATCAGCTGATTAGTGACCGTCGACAACACATAAAAAAACAAATCTGAAATTTCGAATTTTTTCTAATGACCTGTGTGATCGTAATGATCCAGGCCAGGTCGCTGTAATTGACTGACAATTTAATAAAGTCAACCGTCGTGAACTTCGCGGCGTTTCCTGGTGATCGGTCATCGCCATATTATTGTAGACTCATGCAGAACGTCGCAATTACGTTACAGTTGACGTCTTTGAGTTCTCGAGCAGTTTGGTGGCGTCTGTTCCTCATTAATTCGTAGCGATTATTTTCAAACGTTTCTCCACCCCTCCCCTCCTTTTTAGAGTTTACAGAAGCCTGGATTGAAAGCTCATGGCTGGGTTGCTCAAGAACATTAATCGTAATTTTATGCACCCGGAAAACCGGGTGAAACATAGCGGAAGCATCTTTTTTAACCAAATTCAAATAAAAGTTAACTTAATCGGGGCTACAGGTGAGTGATACCGTATTTACCGTAAGCAAGCGTGGTGTAGAACCAACCTTAAGCAAATTGAACCATTGTTTGCTCGTGGTTAACTTATAAGTGTAATCGCTCTTTCTTAGGTCCATGAATAGCTAGTGATATTAGCCTGGTGTCGTGGTGTTCAGCTTATATTAGAAAATAAGGAAGTCATTATGCATCACAAAACTTTCGTTTGATAAAGGTTTATGAAAATAAGTACGAAGAAAAAACGTCAAATGACATATACAGTAGGAATAGATTCTGGAACTTGAACCATCATTAGAAAATCAAAATTTTGTTTTCTACCTGTCTTACCTTAGACAGCTTACTTTCACTGCTTGTTTTGCAAATCGCCTATGCTTATTCATTCAGGCAACAAGAACAATAGCAATAAAAATCACCAGTTTCTTCGTCTTTAGCAAAGGGGGAACTACGTGAGAATTTTTGAACAGTTAGTCTGTTGTTATTTCGATGAACTGAAATATATTATTATAATTTAGTCAAAATTCATGTAACGTAACTGAGTACACACGTACCTTTGTTATAGTTCGTTGTCAAAGTTTAACTGAAATGTCACATTTTCTCCATACGAACAAAACGATAGTAATTATGATAAATACATCTAACGATATGAAAGCTTGGTTAAACCAAAGAGAAACCCTCCTCCTTCACAACCACTTGCCATAAGCAAGTCACCAAAAAAATTGTCGTTGGAAATAAGCAAAATTATAGATAAAAAGTAGGTCAACTACTTATTTTGATAAACTCTTAAATCCTCTCTTAAAAAGGTCTTTATAAGTGTAATCACTACCAATCGTACTCCTCAATTTAAGCTATTTCACTTCGTTGTTTTTTTTTCTGTTTCAGACTATGAGATTCTCGAACGTCCAAGAGAAAGACGTCGAAGAAATTCTGATTCCAGTCTGTAGTACAAAGCAAGAAAAGAGGAGGTTGAACAAACTGATAACCAACCAGAGCGAGCTTTAGAGGGTGGAGCACAATTGGATTTTGAGAAGCGTATGTTCGCAGACAATTATTTACCGAATATCCATGAAACACACAGCAAGACGACAGAGACAAGTGACAGCGGAGTAAGAGCACTTGGTGCAATATCTGAGGGAGAAATGAAAGACACATCTGGTAATTATTTCATTTTAGTCACGGCATGTCAGTCCTCAAAGGGTTTGGTAGGTAGCTGAGTGACATTTCAGCAGGATCGTAAAACACTGAGTTACTCCGCCAGTACATGTAACTAACAAAGGGAACTTTTCTGAGGTTAGAGGTGGGAAGAATTTCAGGTCTCTCGAAAAGATATCTAGTTTACAAGAGAATTGAACTAAATGAGCGGTTTAGGAATCAACGAGATTCTGGATCGAGATTGGGTGTTACTAAGCTGTAGATCAGCAGACCGCGGAAGTCGTAGAACCGGTGGAACCTGAGGAACCTATGGAACCTGTGGAACCTGTGGAACCTGTGGAATGTGTGGAACCTGTGGAACGGGCCGTGGAACGGGCTGTGGAACCCGTGGAAGCTGTGGAACCTGTGTAACCTGAAAGATTAGAGTTTAGACTTATATAAGACTTAAACACTGTTTGAAAGTTCGTTTTCGGGTATAAAGAAGATTAGTTTACAAGAAAAATCTGTTTTAAATGTACTTGATGTCCAACTTTAACTGTGGCGATAGTCACCGTACTAGGGTATGTAATGTCATAAGGAGCAATAGGCAGTCACCTACCCCGAATGTTGATAATTGAACCACAATTTGAAGGCTCTAACGGTTTGGGTACCGCGATATCTGAGTAGTGCCTCATCCGGAGGCTCTCAGTAAACCATTAAGCTGGAATTAGCGGCCTTAAATTCGTTTCATTGAACATGACGCCGGAATGAGGAACACGAGCGTAAATTGACATCATCGCCTGTGATGCATTGTTATCGCGAAAGTTATTGTCATTTTTTTTTCTGTCTGTATTTCTTTTACGCGTTAATTACCTGCGAGTGTTTTTACGTTTCTTTAATTGTATCGTCTACTTGTGTTTGATGTTTGTAACGTTTGTGTGATTTTACGTAATTATGTCGAGTAATTTGGCAGGTTTTGTGTCTAAATTTAGTCCTGTGGATCAGTTTTTTTGTCCTCTTTTCAAGAAGGAGCGTTGTCGTTTTTTGCCTGTAAAGCTATGCGCCGTTAAGGTGAATATTTTTCTTTATTGTGAGTTTATTTGTAAGTTTTCTTTGTCTGGTATGTATTTTCCCACTCATGTTTAGAACGTAGGCGTTCGATGTTTTAAACAAACGATGAACACAATTACGCGTGACTTCGGTTGCATGTCTGTAGAATTGCGGGGTGAAAAGGGTGTCCGGACTCGCGAATTCACATCGTTTTGCTTTCAGTGGATTCGTTTGGTTGGCGTTACTTACAGACATATCTTTGGAAGGATTATGTAGAGGGCTAAGCAGATGAGCTAAAACAGAACCAAATTTCCCCATATCCACCTAAAATATTTGCACGATGCAAAAAAACAACCACGCGAGTGGGATAGATTTATCCTTATTCAAAACTATTCCAGATCTTTTAAAGGTTGAGAGCGCGAATCTTCATTACCATGCAAATGCTTATATGTCACCCATTGTGCAACGTGAACATATTTGCATATTCACGGAGGCTTACTGTGTGAGCTTGGGTTTCCTGTGATTGGATGTCAACGTAGTTCACGAAAAAAACATATTTATCTTTGACGTTGTCTTCTCTATACCCGAAAACGAAATTTCGAACAGTGCTAAGGTAGCATGGTTCCGCTGGTTCTGCTGGTTCTGCTGGTTCTGCTGGTTCTGCTGGTTCTGGAGGTCCTAGGGGTTCCATGGTCTGCTGATCCACAATTTAGTAACACCCATCGAGATCTTGCTCAATGATGTTAAAGTAAAAGGCTGATATCAGTTGAGTACCAACACCTCTATTTTAACAACTACAAAAGTGGAGGAGAGTTACATCCATCAGTTTGTGTTGAGCTTTCACTTAGGTACTCTTTGCCATGTTCGATTTCGCGTAGGACTGAACAGTGCTATCCTTGATCAAAAAAAATAATGATAATGTTAATAATAATTACGAGAGTCTCCCCCCTTTCGTTTTGAATCCTTCGTACATTGGTATTGTTTATCTTTTGTCAGGTGGCGAACACAGTCTTTACTTAAAAGATCTCAGCCAGGACGTGATCAGAAAACTGGATTTCAAACTGGATATGGATTACACTTCTTGGTGTCAAATATGCAAGTCTTTTGGAGTGAGTGAGCGTACTCCAGTGTTACACCCTTGGAAAGATGAATTTGAGCACCTTGAATACTTCGACTTTCGGCCGACGAGAAGTGCATTTAGCAAAATTCTCGATATGTTTTCGCACGTACCTGTTAAGCTATTTAAAGAGGTCTTAGAAGCTTTACAGCTATATGACCTGAGTGATGTGCTTGATGAAGGAAAACCACGAGCCATAAGATCACTGCGACCCCTTCTCAGTTTACGGGAAATAGAGAAATTAAGGAATAGTCGTGATCGTCCCATATCTTATCACAGCAGTGTTGCTGTTCTGATTATTGACTTTCCGGAGACTTGCGACACTGAGGGGATTGAAAAGTTTTTTAAAGGTCTTAACGCTAAGAGCGAGGTAACTGTGATGCGCTGCAGAAACGATATTGAAGCAGCTAAGACAGAATTTCTCAAAAAGAGTGAGGGTGAACAACGTTTCGAAAGTTCCCCAGTGTCGCTGAAGAAGGCAGGGAAGGACTCCGAGAGTGAGATGGACACATTGAGATCGGATTTTTCCGAAGTCATACAGAGATGGATATCCAATCAAGGTTGGTGAAAATGTATAAACTTAAATAAACGAAAAAAATAACGTGGTCGTGAGGTATGTCTGCATACCACGAAACTGGCACCAATTTAGTAATTAAGCTAAAGCGAGACCTGTGTGGTCTTCATTACGGGTTTATGGCAGGTGCATAATTTATTGGTAATTTGTAACACTTGAGGGCATAAACACAAACTTTGTGCCCTCAAGTGGTGAGGAGACGTAGACGAGAACGGTATTATGTTTGCACTTTGCACCATGAGATCCTCGCCAAAAAGTTAAGTTTCTTCGAGGATTTAAGGCTTAACACTATGATCTAAGAATCGATAAAAATCACTAGGAACAAGGGAACTTTTACCATGCAAAACAGAAGTCCTTTTAGTGTATCCAGGCAGGGAGAGCTAAGTGCAAGACGAACATGAAATGAAAGACAGGTGCGAGAAGAGGCGCGAGTCGTGTGTTCCTCCTCGCGTGCGACTCACTCACCCTTGGCGCTCTCCTCGCTATCATCTTGTGTTTGTCTCCCCGGCTGAAAAATATTTAAGAATAACGCCTGCTCTTCAGGCGAGGGAACAATTGATTTCCTAATTCTTGTCGTTCGTGGTTGGAAACAAATCTGTGCTTGATTCAGTTTAATTTAATAGCATCGACCGTAGTTAAAATGAGTCAAGGCGCTTTATTTCGAGCGAGCGGTCATGATAAATACTGAGAAATAATTCCCATTAATATAGATCGCCTTGTGGTCTTATGTCCGTTACTGAATATTTAATTGTCTACTGTACTTAATTGTAATTTTGTAACGAGGAGACTTACATTTTGCGTTCGTTTTATAATTTATCTCCAGACAAATATTCGTCAGTTGCCGTATTTTTCATCTTCAATGATTACGTTAATCAATTCGACTCAGAAGTAGAACAATTAATCTATCACTGTAAGAAGAGGTTGGTCACCGCATTCCCCACAAAAGTGAAATTGACGATCCATTCGTTGTCCGGTTGGAACTGTGTGTCGCCGCGGGAAGAGCTTTTTGTTGTGAATGTTCGTTTTGGTGGTGAAGATTTTCTACCTTTGATGCTGGAGACTTTAACCAAACGCTGGCAAACGATGGACCTGCATTCAATGATGAGAGAGTTCGGAAGGTCTTTGGCAAGAAATCCTATTGAGGAAGGCAATCTTTCTCTAAGAGACTTTAGAAACTTAAGTATAACGGACAATTTGTCGTGTCTTGTAAGGTTCATAATGCATGAAGAGCCGACTAATTAGTTATATTGCGGTGGAAAGCGAGGTAAACCATTAAGGCTAACCGAGTAAGATTATACTTAGTGTTCACTGAATTTAACTAAGTACGGAAGCCACTTTTCAGACATACACGTTGTAAAATAAGTCTTTTTGAAAACGCTGTCCTGCTTCCTTACTGGACTTTTTTATACGGGAATGTTAGGAGACAATGTATGTATTTTGGTTTTGGACCATTTTAGTAATTGTTACGGTCGTGCAGTTCAAGTTTTATTTTTCCGGGTTTCTATCTAGTTCTTGTATTTCGTTCGTTCTTTGACTCGAACGGTTGAGCTGTAAGGAATGATCAATTTTTAATTGGTTCTAATCAAATTGTTATTGCCATAGTTAAACGAATAGCCGAAATATTTTATACCTGTCATTTATTATGAAATATTACAGTTGGGGTTTTTCGCGGGTTTTGGAACATATGTAACGTTTAAAATTTTCATGTTAACCATTCTCGATTTATTCAAGTTCTTTCGCTCTGATATTTAAAAAAAATATAGAAAAGCCCTAGTCTTTTTTGAATTACCAGCTATTACATTTTGCTTCTTACTTTACCATTCATTATAAAACTGTATGTCGGTACTTTGATGACCAATACTGTTGAAATTGCACAAATAAATATGTATCAATGCTCTCTCTGGAGATATATGTGTTAATGATCTTACGAAAATGATAGAATGAAAATGAAAATTGGGTTTCATAGAAGTTGGAAGCAGAGTTTGTGCCTTTAAGTTCGCTTTCCTTTCATATGGTAATTTCTCACGTTGCCGCTTTTCCGAACTTAACGCCAACATCGCATAGATAAACAGAAATTATTACTACTCCTCACTTTTATTTCCTAAACTGCTTTACCGCAATCAAGAAAAATGTGTTTGATATCAAAGCTGCCGGTTAAAGTTGACTTAGGTCTGCTCTGTTTAAGAGCGACGGTCAGGAAATATCGACCAAAATCTTAATTTCGTGGCAAGAGTTGAAAAATCGCTTTCTTTCGTTTTTTGTCCATAAATAGCTTTTGGTAGATAAGATACCTAATGTGGATTGTTCCCGCCAAAAGCTTTTTATTTTTTAGAAAAATTAGAATATCGGTTTTTGTGGTCCGAGTCACGAAATTGGCTAATCATTTACGTGAAATTTGCATACATCAACTTGCCTCTCGTTCGCAAACAAAGTCGCACGGAGAAATTTGGACACTTTATTTCAACAGAATCACTGTTCTTCTTTTACTAGAAGATTCTTTTAGAGCAAAAGCGACACTCACCGAGCAGAAATTATTAAAAAATGAGGAATAGGTTTTATGGATAACAAAAACTCCGTTTTGTTATTGATTTTCGACGGCAATATTGTACATGTGGTATAACTCCAAATTGACTTCATTGTAGTTAAATCCCAGGTTTAGACATACATCTAAAACATGCCTGGGAATTAGCTTGGGTTATTGAATGAAATCTCTATAAGGCGGTATCGAAGTTAAGGAATTTTCATGGTGGGTCGGCGGTAATTGTGTAAACACTTCCAGTTTCGAAATCCATGAAAGTGGATATTTGATCCCCAAATACTAATTTTTCTTAATCCTTGTAGGTTTTACAGTTGCAAAGTTGCGTTTTTACTTAAAGAGTGAGATAGAAAAGCCAAACTGGGTGAATTTTAGACATTTTGAAACGCTAAACTCTATCGACCGGAGACTCCGCGTGACGAATTGTTTCGTGACTAAACGTAATATTGAGGAGTCGACCAGTCACGGAATCACAATATTAACACTGCATTTCTTGACGGCGTATGAGAACAGTGTAAGGGTATAATTGAATGAGTAAAACAGCAAGTTTTGGAAAATATGGCTCTCAAAACTCGGTTGCAATGGTAACGTCAATGCTGACGTACAAGTCACGACGACTTTAAAATGTCCCCAGATGATTTTTAGGAAAAATCGCTAGGTTTGGTGCTCAAAGCTTGAGGGGTTTTGAAGTTATTCAACTTTTTAAGCAAAGGGGGGCTTCAAACCCTTCCCGGTCTAAATAGGGTTAAGGGTGTGAATAAAATAGAAGAACGTATTGAATGCCACCAGTAAACGTAAAAGCTAAACCTCGCTCAACTTTTACGTTTACGTGCGACCTTTCAAACATTGCCTCTATTTAAATTACGCGCCTATGCCTAAAAGCTACGTGTGTATGCACGTGAAATTTACGCGACAGTGGGAATCCACCCTTATTCACCTACCTAGACGCGAGCAGTAACCAATTAGAGAGCACTCATGTAGTAGGCAGTCGAGTAAAATTCATTATACACCTACGCCAGGCGCGCAACAAAATTATTTTCCTTTTTCACTTCCTTATTTTACCTTGAAAGAATCCCTTTCGTTTGCATTTTTGTAGCAGTTTGCCAGCGTGTACATCAATTCTTTATCCAAACCACTAGAACAAGTGTGATTTCCAGTTTCATTTTGTTTTGAGGACATAATGGATTCCCAGAGAAGATCTGGATCATTAGGCGCTATTTCACCAAGAACAACTGAAACCGCTTGCTTGGCTTTGCGCTCATGCAGTCGTCTGGTCCTTCCACTGGCATCGTTCCAAGGTGTCTTTAGGGTGTACCTAATAGGACTAACGTCTCGACTTCTTAAGAAACTGTTAAGGTGGTCAATAGGTTCTTCCGACTTCATTCCTGTAGTGCTTGTCTCGGTTTCTTCTAGGAGGGTTGATGGTAAATATAATGACGTTTCTTGCTCTAGTAAGTCATGTGCTACCACCTAACAGGGAGTACTTGCAGCAATTCGAAGGTTACACATCACGCCCTAGACAAGGACACAAAATAAATATAACGTAAACTGTATTAAAAAAATTAATTGAATACATAATTATCAACCAACACTTAGACAAAGATCAATAATCCCACCTGATCTTTGTTGCCTTTATTCTGGACTAAAAATAAAACCTTTTTTGCTGCCTTCATTTATGATAAAAAGTGCCTAATTTATTACATAAAATACCTTTCATTATGACAAATAAGTACGAACTTTAAAGCGAGTGGTAAAGGAACCCGAAGTGGTATATTGGAAACCCGAAACGTTTTTCTGGGCGTTATTCACCGTATCCTTAACCTTGAGAAAATCACATGAACTCGTATCCCTGGCGGTATAAGGTGGAGAGATGCGTGTGTGTTGGTGGGGGCAAGTGGGAGCAAAAATGCAGTTTTTTTTAAATGAACCCTTTATTCTTAAAAGAACAATTTGGCCTCAGCTTACCATCGCGGACTACGTGGTCTTTAACTTGTTGCCACTGCTTCAAGTTCTCAGATTTTGGTGAGAATAAAAATAGAAAATCCGCTGAATAAATTTCAACTGCGTGCAGACGCAAGGGCGACATAAAATGCACGGGGTATTAAACCTCTTCATTATCTGCGGAACTAAGGAAAAACTGACGTAGAAGGCACAAAATAAGCATATGGCATTGTTTTCTGGGATACCAGCACACAGTCTGAGGTCTACGAAATCGGTTAATTTGTGCTCTCTATCCCTATTCGTTACATTTTAAGGAAAGGCAGCAAGGAAACGGGGCCCGCTCATGCAGACTTTGTAATGATAAGGTCCCTATCCATTTTTTTTTTCTTTTTTGCCCCGCGGGCCTTGTTTGGTGCCACTGTTAATAACACTATTTCCATTGAGTGCCAGTTCAGAACTTACAGAAGTCTCAATGGTCTCAGTCTCCTCGTAAGAAAGGTTCTTGGTCTCCGGAAGCTTTGTGGGCAGCTCCCCTATTTTCTGCATGTCAAGATTAACCCGGCAGTTGCGACAAATAACTGTTGAGTGAATCGATGGAAAATGCAGGTTTTTGCTGGTACGATATAATCACTATAATCACTATCACTGAACAACTACGGTCTTAATTTACACAAGTAAGGGAACCTGTTTCAAAAAACTTAAATGATAGATTTTCCTGCCCTTTCATATACTTCAACTCTTCAATTCCCTACCCTTTGATATACCTGAAGCCTAATAAAGGTACCCTTTAGGAGCTGAGTCTCCCTGTAACTATTTATAGGCCATCAGGGAATCTGCTTTAAAAAGCTGTAATTTAGGAGTCCGGTGAAGGCTTCTAAATTTACCTTTTTGCTGCTACGATCACTAATATAAAATGTTAGAATAATGAAAGGAAAAGAAACACGTAAATAAACAAAGGCTATTGACTTTGCGACCGTCACGGCTACTTAATTACTGAAAAAGTCAAAATAAAAAAAAAAGAATAGTGCTTACAAAGTGCTTTAATTGAAGTGTCAGATTGGACCACCATTTTAGAGCTGATCTGTTTGGTTGAAAAATATGAAAAATGATGTATACGTACCTGAACCAACTGGAATAAAAATTCCCAGTTTCTTCCATATCAAATAACAAGCACTTTTGCCAAGTCCTCTTTCTGCCTTTGCGTTTTTTTGGGCTTGTCCGCCGTGCTTCGAGATTGGCGGAGGAACTCGGCACAGATTCGATCCTCGACGCCACCCTATACCAAGGGATGAGCGGTGCCGGGGACAAATCGTTAATTCCGAAAGGTATAACTCCGAAGAAAAGGATGTTGATACTCTTCCCAAAATAAGTTCGATTTCGGTTTCTACGTCAGTTATTGACAAGGAAGACTTATGACCCGCGATGTCTCTTTTGCAGTTCAGAAATGGAATAACCTCAGTTGATCTGCTCCTATCTCTGGGGTCATAAGAGCAAGAACCGCCAACTAAGGAGCTAAAAGAGCACTTAACGTCCATGATGACACAAAACTGGCAAAAGAAATTCACTCTAACTTCGCTAATTAAATTTTCCCTCTGCATTTAATTGACTATTTCAGTTTACTACGGCGGGTAAACTGCTTCGAGCTTTAGCCAACTCTGTCATTTCTTCTACAAATAATAAAAATGAATCCTCACGATTGAAGAAAATATCAATTTAAAAAGCATCTACG